GTCGTCGTCGTCGTCGTCGTCGTCGTCGTCGTCGTCGTCGTCGTCGTAGTAGTAGTAGTAGTAGTAGTAGTAGTAGTGGTAGTAGTAGTAGTAGTAGTAGTAGTCGTCGTCGTCGTCGTCGTCGTCGTCGTCGTCGTCGTCGTCGAATTTATAGTAGCGCTGCCGAGTCATCTCAGTATGCATGCGATTTCACTGGGCTGGCCTGTTTTCCTTCGTTTGACAGAGGCACGTCGGGATTCAGCACTGGGGTATCGACTAAAGGATTGTTCGTGGTGGACCATGCGCTTGTCAAACATCGTGCCTCTCGGAGGGGTGTGAGCCTCTTTTAGATCCTTCTGGACCCTTCCCTTTGCTGCCCTCAGTGCTTCAGGGCGGGAAGGTTGATTCACGGCTTTTCGCTGACTTGAGCCTGGGTCGGTTTGCTCCTCCTCCTGTCTCGTCCTCGCCGCCGTCGTAGTCATCGTCGTCGGCCTCGTCCTCGTCCTGTTTACTCCTCCCCTAGCCCGCCCCCTCCCCCTCCTCTCCTCTCCATGTCTTCCCATCCTCCCCTTCCAATCCCTCGTCCTCATCGTCGTTTCCCTCTGCGTCCTGGTCCTCCTACTCCTCTCTTCTGTTCCCCGAGTCCGTAGTTCCTGACCAAAGAGGTTTGCCTCATTTCCGAACTCTCTGTGAACGGGTACTGCACAAGTGCGACTCAGCATGGCGTTGCGGCTTGCATGCGCTGCCTGCGTGCTCGCGGCGGTGGCCGAGGGTGTCACCAGCGGGCTGCGAGGCGATGGCGAGTCTCCGAAGTGCTACGACACCGTCGAGGGGGAGCCGTGCTACAAGGCTATCCAGTGGGCTCAGAAGAAGGGCATGTGGAAGAACCCCGAGTGGTACGTCGAAGTCAAGAACCCGCTCGACGAGGCTGAGATGCAGAACTTCTTCTTCAAGCAGCGCAAGCACGACTGCATGAGGCCCTGCAGACTTGCGGTCGAGACCACCCCGGCACCCGAGGGCAAGGACAAGGACGGCAAGAAGGACTGGAAGTCGTACTTCAAGTGAGTGCTCGCAGCCTCCCCAGGTGGTTTGCTTCCCCCCCCCGCCCCGACGGACAGACGAGGAACGGGGTCCTGAGGGACACGAGTCCTGGGCTCTCCCCAGGACCAGGTGATGCTCGAACCGTTTTTGAAGGTCCCGGGGCCCGTGGAGGGTCCGGGTAGCCCGAAGATATTGGTCGATTTCCATGTTCCCTTCCCTCCTGGACCCGTTTTCTTCATTCTACAGCCGACCAGGATCGGAAGGATGAGTATGTTCCCCAGGGCACATTTTCATTATTGCATCTTGGGCCCATCCTCAGCCATTGTCGCCGGCCATTTTGCGCTCAAGCTGATTCAACTTGGGCGTACAAGACCCTTGCATCCTAACCCTGCATCCTTAGCATCCTGTCGCGCTGTAGTGACCTCCTCACGACGGATCTGGCCTGGTTCGGCGTCAGCGCGCAGCATTGCCACCCCCCCTCGTAGGCGCGCCGGTGAAAAGAAGTGATGTGCCTTCCGGGTCTCTCCTTTGGACGGCGGAGGTAGGAGGATGAATGGAGAAGACTAGGAGGAGGAGGAGGAGGAGGAGGAGGAGGAGGAGGAGGAGGGGGAGGAGGAGGAGGAGGAGAGGAGGAGGAGAGGAGGAGGAGAGGAGGAGGAGGAGAAGGGGGAGGGGGAGGTGCAGGAGGTGGAGGGAGGGAGGCGGATGATGAGGAGGGAAGAGGCAAGATGGTCAGGGGGATCGAGGCTCGCCAGGAGGGATGACGAAGATCGTCATGATGATACTTGTGCAGATGACGATGATCGCTATGCTGATGCTAATGCTGATGCTGCTGATGCTGATGATGATGATGAGGAGGAGGATAGTGAGGATACTGATGCTGATGCTGGTGCTGATGATGCTGATGATACTGATGATGCGGCTGATTGTGATGATCATGCTTATAGTTGTTGTTGCTGCTGTTGTTGTTGCTGCTGATATTATTATATTAGTCTGATTTCTAGCATCATTCATATTATGCCTACAGGCTCGGAAAACATTTCTTCTTACGCCACACCAAGGCCTCAAGAACAGCCGAAAGACAAACGAAACCTTCCGCACTCAACCCCGTCCGCCTCACTGGACATGTGATCCAAACGCGCTCCCCATTAAGTTCAAAACGGGCTCGCGCCTTGGGGGGCGGGCCTGGGGTGATCCACTCCTTTAATTCGAATTTTATGTACGAGAGTGGGTAGAGCCTGGTTTGGACGATTCTGCTTGGGACGTCCTCAAAAATCTGCCTGGTTTGGGCCCTGGTTTGGCCTGGTTTGGCTTGGTTGTGCGGCGCATGCCGCCTGAGACATCCTCCGAACTTGCTTGGTTTGGCCCCTGGTTTGGCTTGGTTTGGGCTCGGTTTTGCTTGAGACGTCCTCACAACGTGCTTGGTTTGGCTCGGTTTGGGCTCGGTTTTGCTTGAGACGTCCTCACAATTGCTTGGTTTGGCCTGGTTTGGGCCTGGTGTTGCCTGAGACGTCCTCTCAATTGGCTTGGTTTGGTGGCCTGGTTTGGGCCCGGTTTTGCTTGAGACGTCCTCGCAATTTGTTTGGTTTGGCCTGGTTTGGGCCTGGATTCGCCTGAGACGTCCTCACAATTTGCCTGGTTTGGCCTGGTTTGGGCCCGGTTTCGCTTGAGACGTTCTCACACTTTGCCTGGCTTGGCTTGGTTTGGGCCCAGCCATCGCTTACACAAATCCTTCTGCTATGCGGCATTGGACCATGTGGCGGCGTTAGGAGAAAACCTTTCCGAGCCTGTAGTTTTTTAGATAAGCATAATCATCACTATTATTCTTATTATTATCAGTATTTTTTTTACCATTCCAATACCAAGTACAATTATTTATACTGTCATCATCATTAGTAGCTGTATTTTTATTAGTAGTATTATGTTGTATTACTGCTACTACTACTACTACTACTACTACTACTACTACTACTACCACTACCACTACCACTACCACTACCACTACTACTACTACTACTACGATTACTACGACTACTACTACTACTACAATTACTATTACTACTACTACTACTACTACTACCACTACTACTTCTACTACTCCTGCTACTACTACTACTACTACTACTACTACGACTACTACTACTACTACTACTACTACTACTTCTACTACTACTACTACTGCTGCTACTACTACTACTACGACTACTACTACTACTACTTCTACTACTACTACTACTACTACTTCTACTACTACTACTACTACTACTACTACTACTACTACTACTACTACTACTACTACTACTACTAACTACTACTACTAACTACTACTAATTAACTAACTACTACTGCTACTACTACGAAACTACTATAACTACTACTACTACTACCACTACCACTACTACTACTACTACTACTACTACTACTACTACTACTACTACTACTACTACTACTACTACTACTACTACTACTACTACTACTACTACTACTACTACTACTACTACTACTACTACTACTACTACTACTACTACTACTACTACTACTACTACTTTCAGATTGTTCTGATTATTGTTATTCTTATCATCCTTATTTATGATTGTGCTGATGGTGCCGATGATGCTGAGCCTGCCGGGGCGCGGGGCCCGTCAGCAAAGACGGCCCAGGATGGGAGGCTGGTCCCCGGGAGCGCCCTGTGGTCGAAGTCCTGGTTCCACATTTGTGCCTGCCGTCAGTCGTGCCCGGGTTTGGGTCGGGGGCGGCCAAGAGGGGGGCCGGGCGAAAGGGGGGGACAGGGAAAGGGGTTACAAAATCTGCTGCGTGCAGCTGGTTTCGGCCCCATCGAGGGGCCCATTCCTCGATACATGGGCGCCTCCCGGCGCCGGGAGGCGCCGGGAAAATCAGCTACGTGAGCTGATTCGCAAACTCCCCTTTGCTATCCCCCCCTTTCGCCCGGCCCGAAAGAGGGGGGTGGTGACGAGGGGGGGGGTGGACATCATGGCGGGGGGCATGATCTCTCCCCAACTTTCATGGCGCCTCTTCTGAGTTCGGTGCTTCCCCGATCCACCCCCTGGTCCGCGCACATGTCTCCGGCCATGATTTGCAACCCGTCTTCTTGTGCGCCCATTTCGTGGCCGCCACCGCCCCCGAAGATGGGGTGGGGGCATTGCGCCGCGTCGCTGATGCATCGGCCATGCAACTCGGTGCGGAACTCGACTTCTCCACGCCCGTGCCGCCGATGCATCGCCGATGCCTTGGAGATGCACTGGCGATGCGGTGCGATCTTCCGGCCCCATATATTCGGACTCCATCTAGGGGGCCTTTGAACCAGGATTCCTCGTCCACACGGAATCCCCGTCGGAGACGCCCTGATCTTTTCAGTGCGCGGCCCCCAGGAGCTTTTGTCGCACGAGGACTCCCGACTGGAGCCCTAAAACAGCATAGAATCGACACGCCGCTCCCACTTCGCACACTCCGTGAATCGGATTTTGGACACCCCACCCAGGGGGAGGAGGATAAGGAGGAGGAGGAGGAGGAGGAGGAGGAGGAGGAGGAGGAGGAGGAGCAGGAGGAGGGGGGGAAGGAGCAGGAGTAGAAGGAAGAGGAGAAGTCCAGGCCCCTCCCCCGGGACCGCCCTTTCGTCCCGAGCCGTTTCTTCCACGGTCCCTGGGGCCCGCCGCCCTGGCCACACGACCGCGAAGGCGGCCGGGAGCGACGCTCGCAGGTTCGTTGTCCTGGCATCGCTCGGACGTGTGCATTTTTTTCTCGGCGAGGACCATCGAGGAGCATCCTTGATCATTTGGCGAAAAAGCCACGCACGAAACCGAAAAAAACACAGGGAATGGACGTCCGAGCGATGGCGAGTTGTCCCTTCGGTCTGGGCCAGGGGCTGCGGCTCCCAGGCCAGAGGGAGTTTGAGAGGCGATGCGTCTACCCCGATGTTTTTTTTGCTGCGGGGCGACACGCTCACCGCTCGCAGGGCATCGAGGGAGCCCCGAGGGGCCGGAGACGGCCACCCCCCCGTCGTGTTTTTTTCGAACCATCCTGTGGTGTTGGGTCCTCGTGTTGAAGAGACAGCGCCCCGCGTTCTTCACCTCACCCTCACCTCCCGCGCTCCTCCCTCCTCCCCCTCCTTGCCTCTGCCCTCCGCATGTCTCTGTTTCGGCACAACCAGTACAGCGTTTCGTGGCCCCATAGGGAGCTCCACGGAAGGCCCCAGAGGCAGGGTTTACATGCATCCCCGCGACTCATTTCGGCACGCCCCTCACACGCTTCGTGGCCCCATAGGGAGCTCCACCGAAGGGCCCAGAGGCAGGGTTCGCATGCGTCCCCCCGCCTATTTCGGCAGACCTCTCACATGCTTCGTGGCCCCACAAGGAGCTCCACCGAAGGCCCCAGTGGCAGGGTTCGCATGCGCCCCCCCGCCCATTCGGCACACCCCTCACACGCTTCGTGGCCCCACAGGGAGCTCCACCGAAGGCCCCAGTGGCAGGGTTCGCATGCGTCCCCCCGCCTATTTCGGCAGACCTCTCACATGCTTCGTGGCCCCACAAGGAGCTCCACCGAAGGCCCCAGTGGCAGGGTTCGCATGCCTCCTCCCGCACATTTCGGCACATCCCTCACACGCTTCGTGGCCCCATAGGGAGCTCCACCGATGGCCCCAGTGGAAGGGTTCGTATGCGTCCCCCCGCCCATTCCGGCACATCCCTCACACGCTTCGTGGCTCCATAGGGAGCTCCACCAAAGGCCCCAGTGGCAGGATTCGTATGCGTCCCCCCGTCCATTGCAGTACCCCCTTCAAACGCTTCGTAGCCCCTTAGGGGGTCCACCGAAGGCCCCAGTGGCGGTCTCGCTCCACTGCGGCGCACCGCTCAAACTTTTCGTGCGTTCCGCCTAAAGCACCAGTGGCAGCGCCCGCATGGTGGCTCCGCCCAACATCGGCACACGCTTCGCATGCTTCATGGCCCCATGAGGAGATCCTCCGAAGGCGATACCCGCAACGACGATACTTACAACTGCATATGGTTGGA